CAGGGCGTAGAGTTAACAGAGCGATATCTGAATTAAACAATACCATATATCAAATGGACTTGACAGACATCTACAGAGTATTCCACCCAAGCACCAAACGACATACTTTCTACTCAGCACCCCATGGAACCTTCTCCAAAAATCGACCATATAGTGGGGCAAAAAACAAACCTCAACAAATACAAAAAGACTGAAATAATTCCATGCATAATATCAGACCACAATGCAATAAAGCTTACAGTCAACACTGGAAGAAGTCCTAATCACCACATGAACACATGGAGATTAAACAACACACTCCTGAATGATGAATGGGTCAAAGGAGAAATTAAGAAAGAAATAGAAAAGTATTCCTGGAACTAAATGAAAAGGACAATACAACATGACAAAACCTCTGGGACACACTGAAAGCAGTCCTTAGAGAGAAGTTTATAGCTCTAAGTGCCTACATCAAAAAGTAGGAAAGAACACAAATAAATGACTTAATGTTGCAACTCAACGCACTTGAAAAGCAACAGCAAATAAAACCCAAACCCAGTAGACAAGAAGAAATAACATAAATCAGGACATAAATTAATGAGATCAAAACAAAGAAAACAATACAAAGAATCAACGAATCCAAGAGCTGGTTCTTCCAAAAGATAAAAAAGATTGACAGACCACTAGCCCAATTAACCAAAAGAAAGAAAGAGCACCTCCAAATCAACAAAATCAAGAGGTGAAAGGGGAAACATCACAACAGACACCAGAAAGATAACATTATAAGGGAATACTATAAAAACCTATATGCTACTAAATTTGAAAACCTAAAAGAAATGGATGAATAATATCTAAAGGCATGGGAACCACCAAAACTAAACCAAGAACAGACTAACCACTTAAACAGACCCATAACACAAAAAGAAATTGAAACAGTAATACAAAATTTCCCAACTAAAAAAAGCCCAGGACCAGATGTATTTACAGCAGAATTCTACCAAAGAAGATCTACATTCAATACTACTTAATTTATTCAAAAAGGTAGAAATGGAGGGAGAACTTCCAAATTCCTTCTATGAATCCTGCATCACTCTAATACCAAAGCCAG